TTCGAAAACAAGTATCACTCGACCATACTATCCATAACGCAATAAAAATGTCGAAATAGAATAAAATCATCGAATGTAATAAATATCCTTATCATTGTATTCTTTTCGAATTTGTGAATATAAATTAAGTAAAATATAGGCAAAAATTTAGAATTTCGAAAAACATTCACGATTACCATTGCAGTTACAATATTTTAATCCGTCAACATAAATGCATTGAATTTCGATGTTTTCGGCGTTTAGCCCGATTTATCACTGTAATAATTTTTTGCACTGACAACAATATTGTTTTCTTGTTATCCACTCAACATTAATCATTAATTAATTTTGAATATTCAATATTTTAATAAATAAGTAAATAAGCGATTCGAATTATATGGCAACGATTTCTTTATTTCTTTAATACTATTCGTATTCTTTGCTTTGGTGCGATAAAACTTTCCTCAAACTGTAGAGCCATTTACAGTTAATAAGCTTAAAAGGAAAATTTATAGTGAAGATTTGGCATTTCATGACTTAATAACAATTTTATTATTTTACAATATTCCGATCTTTAAACTCTTCTTCATTTACTTCCTACCATAATAAATGCTCATGATACATCACAGTATTTTTAATGTAAAAAGAGGGGTTATGTGTAAGCTTATGTTCTGCACTGATAAATGAGAAGCAGGTTTGGTGCTTTGCTCGAAAGTTGGATGCAATAAGCCTTCATACATGGGCAAAGAAAATTCATACTGTTGTCGTCTGATATCATAGAATTCCAAAATTGAGGACTTTGGAAGAAAGTTTTAAATCTGGTTGTAAAAGTTGTAAGCTCAGTTAAAATAATATATTTTTTATTTTTATTTGAAAACTGTGCAAATTTATTTTAATAAAAACTAATTTTTTTCATTTTTTACTTTCGAAAATTCCCATCCTTTTATTCTCTGTAATGGTTTTAGGCGATTAAATAAACTGGTCTTTCCTATTTTTCAATTTTTACCTTAGTTGTACCTTAATGAAAATTATATACGCAGATGAAATTTAGTGAATTTCATTTTTGCCTTTCATATCGTTTCCATTTCAATATTTTGCAAATCATCATTCTTGTTTGGTTCTGCTGATGGATTATTCACAATGATTCACAATCAAAAGATTCAATTACAATAGAGCTTCGTAAAGAACGAAAATGGCTCTAAAACATGCAAATAAAGAAGATTTTGCAGGTTTCGATTTTACTTATTACTTATCCGCATGGAAACTCTGAAAAAGAAAACATCACTAGAATATTTGACTTTTTTATTTGTTTCAATTTCTTCATGGGAAAATTTGGAGGAATTTTTAGATACTTTACAAATGAAAGCAACTATCACGAATCAGTGAGATTTCGTCATAGAATTTGAAAAATTATGTTTATTTTTCTAAATATTTCGCATTTATTTTACTGTAAATGATTGGAGTCAATTTGTTACTCCTTTTCTATATTTTACACATACAGCGAGTTGGTGGGCCCTTCGATTCTTCTCCTTTGACCTATCATGATAAGTAAACCGCCTCTATTTCTGCCCCAAAACGACCCGAAAGGTGTCAATAAATTTAGCCGAGCTTAATAGAATCACCGAACCAGAAATGGTACCTTTAAAGAAATAGGAAATTTGCGACTGCACAATGTATATATAAATGTGTTTATAAACAATTATTCACGTAATTGTTAAATTCTCTCCAAACAAATTATTCATTACCTTTGGTAATAAATTGATATAATCGCTCATTTATTTATTTCTTTTTTGGCTTTTAAATTAATACAAAAATTATTTTTATTCTATTCCTTTGATCAATTATTTCCTAAATTTAAATATTGTATGGAATTTCTTTCATAAAATTTTATCAAAAGAGGTATTCTTTTCCGAAACTGGTTTTCATGTCCATGTTTTCGGCTGAGTTTTTTTTTAACGATATTTATTTCACATTGGCTTAGAATGGAAATTTATCATTTTTTATGTGGTCGATGTGTTTTCTTTTTGTGTTTGGCCTCATTGTTCCTTTTTTGTCAAATTTTTTTAGCATATAACTTCGAGAGAACCACAAAGGAACTCGTCGGATTCATTCTTTTGCATAAAGAATTCATCGCGCCCATATTTTAACTGTAACGATTTTAATGGCCCCTTAATTAGCAATTATACTCAACAGCTGTTAGCATGTGAGATTCAGAGAGGCAGTCATTCGATGTAGAACAAGTCTATTCTGTTAGGATCTTTCGCTCCTATTTGCTCAGATGTCGAGCCACAAAGCCTGGAACGGTAATTTAAGCAATACAATCCTCCACTGCAGCTGTTTTAATGATGTATAAAATATATTTCATGCGAAGTAATAATCATGGACAATGTGGATTTGTTGAAAATCACTGGATTAAAAAACTTTATAACGAGTTAGCAATTATTCCGCTTGTACAATAGCTTTGAATTCTTCTATTTCCAGTTCTCAATATGAAATTATATGGAACTAAGTTGTTATTCGAAGTCTGCATCATTTTTCATCATCAATGTGCGCATACAATGCGCCATTTGCGATTCAAAATAACCTACTTTCATTGTTTTTGTATTCGAGAATTATCTTTTAATCGTGCAAAAATGAGTTAATTTTATGGAATTTTCGAAACTTTTTTTATTCATGGCTATATTCAACACAAAGTTAACCATTCAAAAAACTTTATTAATCCATCAAAAAAATGAAATATTGGACACGAAGTGAGCCAAGTGAACAACTTCGCACATTTATATTTACTCTGGACTTCGTTGCCTTAACTCGCAGATCTGATCGATACCAAGCCAAGAAAGCAGCTGAATGTTCTAAGTTCTATTAAAATTGCATTCTGTCGTTCGTCTTCCATGTTTTCTTCGCATTTTCATTTTATTTTTACTCGACTAATTCCATTCCATTTTTTTAAAGGATCTTATTTCCAATGCAAAACAGAAAAATTTGTCCCTTTAATAAAAAAATTTATTTATTACTTTTTAGATATTCATTAAATAAGCTTTATTTATATTTATTTTATTTATATTTATTTTATTATTTTTTATTGCTAAAATAATTCGGCAAATTTAAACTAACCTAATGAAAATCTTTATTGATATATGTATTGAGAAATGGGAAATAAGGAAGATTTATTGCATATTTTTAAAATAAAAAATTTTCTTGCAGTATTATCATGACGATTTTCGATCATTGTTTTGAACTTTATTCACTTTCATAAAATTGCTGAAATCCATAGAGTTTCACGGAAAATGTGAGTGAGGAATATTCAAGTAAAATCGAATTTTTCTAACAACATCGTCATTTTTGCTTAGATTGGCACCATTGGCGTTAGGATTTGACGACCAGAGAGTGTCACCAGAGAGCCGCTTGGTGCTAGAAATATAAGCACGTCATATTTACTGTCAAGGCATGTTTATTTTCGATAAGAGACTGAAATCGAACCTATCAACTATAATGACTCGATTTTAATCGATGCGGCATCCCTTGAACAGTTCGAGTTATTGTTTAAATTATAATCATTTGGAATGAATCTTTCATTGCCCAAATTTCTATGAACGAAAAAATCTATCACTTTTTTATCGTTATTTCCTTCAAATTAATTAATTCGTTTTTTAAAAAAATTTTTCTTGGATAATTAATCGTTTAATCGTTTAACTTTTATTCTTTTCTTCTTAACTAAAGCATTTTTGCAAATTTCTTTTTTTGTCTTTAAATTATTTACTCATTTTTGCGATTTCATTAACAATTGGATCCATTTTGGATTTTTTTGACGAAAAAAAAATCTTTTGATTATCTTATTTGACGGAATCAGTTGGTTTTCAAGAACTAAGTTGTAATTATTCGGCGTTTGCTTAAAAAATTTGGATTGCTAGTTTCTTCTGTCACCAAATGATTCTTTGGCTTTCATTCTTAATAGCAAATGAGCTTAACCAGTAATAGTGGTCGCTGAAGAAAAAATTCTTATTTCGAGTTTGCATTACCATTATATTAGCATTTATTTTCCAGATTTTCCAATACCAATAGCAATTTTCTCTAAAGAATTTTTTCGAATCGACTAATTTGTTATTGAAGATTCTGGCTTGTTTCCCTTCTAATTATCCTCATTTAGTAAAAAAGATGTTGGTGGAGGTGCGGATTAGCTATAACGATGCCGATGTTTTATACCTTTTCAATTTAAATCGATTACTCTATTATATTGCAGTAAAGTTTTATGCTATGTGCGAGTATTTGTTTGTTTGCAAAATATATAAACTGATGAAATAAGAGCGAATCGACCGAGCGATCATCGATTATCACGTGTTGAAAATTGACATCATTTATCATTTATCATTATGTTTTATCAATCTATTTTTCGAAAAAAATACATCAATTTCAAATTTTCATGGTTTTTCTGATTAATTTTTCTAATTTTTCCTGTCTTATTTTAAATTTACTCATCAGTTCATCATTAATTTTCATTTTCCATAAATTTTTCACTTTTGACTTTTATAGATTTCTCACAATTCTACCGAATTCTTCTCCTTCATTAATTTCGTTTTTCATATTCCATTTTTTTTAAAAATTTTGCATGATAATCGAAAAATTATAATCGAAAAATTATAGAATTGCCCTTTAAAGTTGGCATAAGCTAGCTCTGCGGTTAACAACTTTCCATCGATCATTCATCACCGTACGAATGGAAAATATTTTTTGCCTCTTTTATCAATAAATAGACCACTGATTTTAAGTTCGGCGTTCTTCTCAATTAAGGCTTTATATTATTCAATAATTAAGGAATTCCCGATTTGTTATCGTTATTCAAAAAAAATTTTATTTAATGGTCGTTACTCATTCAATTTTATACTTTATTCTTAGCGTCGCATTTAAATACCTTTTCAGAAGGAGATAATAAATATCAAACTCAGCTCAGACAATTATAAAGTGGTGCCTTGCATAATATGTGGAGTATGAATAATCCAGCAGATAAATAATTAATAAATATTATGTTCTGTAATATACCTATGAATGTTTATCGTCAAGACGATTCAGTCAATACATCTAACTGCGATACGTCAAAGAAAATTTACGGAGCTTTTGTAGATTTCAAGGATTATGCAAGACGTCGCCACAACGGCGGAACTAAAGTAAACATTTGCATTTGTATAGCTTTGATATAATTTAAATGTAATCTGGTGAACACGCAGAAATCGAATTGCCATTCTATTCTTGCGAATTTAATATTTTTTTTAATAAAATCGCTTAAGAAGTATTTAGAAAATCTAACTGAATAATAAATTTTAAAAAGTTACAATTAACATTTAGTTTTACGAAAAAAAATTCCTATTTTTTTCGAATTATAATGGAAAAATTCATTTTCGTTCTGTCGTTCTAATGCTTCTGCTTCAGTTAATATTAGTTGATAAAATTAGTTTGTTGTTGTATTAAAATAAAATGATCGATGGAAAATTCTATAAATATATATATTTATATATATAAAGAATTTATATCTTAAAAATTATGCAGGCATTTCATCGTCTTCGGCATATATCAGCCACGTGCAGTAGCATAAATGAAGAGAATCGCAAAATCTCTGCCGACCATCATTTTCTCGATCTGGAAGAATCAGATGATGACATTTCGGATTCTAAATGCCAAACTCGCCGCTTTAGCGTTCCAGAAAAAGTTCTGCGGTCATCGGTATTTTTTTTCAATATTTGGTTCTCTTAATTCGAGTAATCCGAGTGATGCTGGCGAATCACCTGTATTTTGATCGCCAGTGGAATCCCCGGATATTTGTTCAGTACGACAAGCCAGCGAAGCGAGTTGACCAGTAATGGTGTGGATTTAAAAAAAAACATTTAGTATGAGTTAAAATAACTGAACTGCAAGGTAGGCGAAAGAATGCTTTATGCCGAGTTTTAATGACCTTGCGAAATTTCCTCTTCGCCAGTAGAAGATAGAAACAAAGGTGCCTTGCCAGCACCATCCAGTGATTTCTAAATATTAACATGAGCAATAATGAGATAGAAATTTATAGGCGATTTTTTAAATTCAGGATTATGCCATTTTGCGTCCATGCAGTGAGCGACAGTTCGAAATTATTGCTGCTTTTGGTAAGCAAATTTTGCTTCTTAGAAATTTCTGAAATATATCGAAATCTATATGCTGGCGAAGTAAACATGATGATTTAACGCGAATTCAACTGTTGTATTATTTTTTTGCACTTAGTTTCAATAGTTTTTGTGAATTTGCAAATATTTTGCTGTTTAGTTCTTCTGGGAGAACAGTGGCATTAAAAAAATTACCTTTTACTAACTTTTGCTCACGTTCATTGGCCACAGCAATTTTTTATTTTGAGCCAAATTGTTCAGCATTTCTATTTTAATTTAATTTTAATTTGGATTTTGTGGTTAAATATTCCTCAGATTTGTGGAACCGATAAAAAAATATAATAAATAAAAATATTTCCATAAAAATAATGTTGTTTAGTAAATTTTAGCAAATTTTTCGCTATCTGTGAAATTACCCCTTTGTTTCAGCTATATTGCCTCTAATATTCATCCGTGCTTTAACCTATATTTAGATCGAAATACTGATCCTTGTCGATCGTATATGCAATCACTTGTTTGTTATGATCTGGCTCCCTCACATAGTGCCGTCGTACTCTTGGATGGAACACTAACGGTATTACACTTTATTTATTAGGCATGATGTACATTTTTATCTAAATTAAATTGTAATGCAAGTTTTTTGCTTCATTCTTGTAGTTAGTATCTCTATTTCTGTAAAATATTTCAAATATTTTGAAATATTTCCGTAAACTTTTGTTGTCAATTAATCAATTGTTCAATTAATCAAACCACAAATTTTAGGTGCGAAAGGCACTTTTGGCTTTACATCAATCTGGTCATAATGCTGCAATTATTGTTGATTCTTCTACGGGCGCATCGATAAGTATTCTAACAATTACTGATTGTTTGAGAGCCATTACACTCGCTGCGGCTGATAAACCAAATATTGGTGATAGCTTTATCGGAAATTTTTTGGAGAAATTCGGGAAAAAACGGATTATTAGTGCTCCTATTAATCTTTCGTAGGTTTATTCGACTTCTTTCTAGAAACGACCTTAAGAAGTGTTTTTCCAAGCTTTTAAATTAATTTAAAATTCATAGTTCAATATTTATTTTTTAAAAACTCATTTTAACTTTCTCCATATTATAATATTAAGACCAGAAGCAATCTTTTTCATTAAATTTTAACAACAGATTTTAGTTTCATATCACTTCTAACAAACCACCGTAGGTTCAACTTATTACTTCATTAGATTAAACTTACCATTAAAAATCAAATCTGGTAATATTGGAGCTTCCAACTCGTGTTTAGAATTTTTCATTTAGAATCATGTGTAACAATTCTTCTTCTAACAGCTCTACTGGTTAGGCTGGCTCCGCTGGCTACAAGGATAAGGCATCTCCAGGCTACTCGGTCTGACGCCATCGCTAGTAATAGTAGAATCCATTCCTTTTTCCATCATCTAAATCCATATATCGCTGGTCTTCCTATACGTATAAAATCTTTCCTAGATGTATCAGTTTAGGTCTTGACTGTCCTTCCTCTCTTTTGACACCAAACATTACAGGATTTAGCAAGTAACGAAATATGCATCAACTCCTGAGTTCTAACCAGCGAAGGCAACGTACATTATGTGATAACATTATTATTATTAGTACAGTATTAATAGTATTTAAGCGAAGATGGATACATTCATGTGAGATTTCATCCAGTCTGCGAACGTAAAATGTATCTTAAACATGAGTAATCAAAGGCAGATAATTTCTTGATATCCTCCACTCTCATTGGCCATGTTTCGCAGCCATATAGCAAGATCGAGCGAATGCAGCTATATGGACATGGATTTTCATCTTTATGGTGATTTCGCGATATTCCATAAAGGTTCATCAACTCTAAAAACACATTTCTGTCGTTATTCGGGTTACGATTTCATCCTTTTTCTAGTCATTTGGGACTAGAATCCAAGATGTTTAAAGTCGAACATTTCCTAAATCGCTAATGAATTGATAAAAATAGGTATTTTGTCATCTTCTTGTATATAAGACGAAAACACTTTCGTTTTATTTATGCTGATTTTAAGTCCAATGCTCGCTGAAGTTGTTGACTCATTGTTTAACATCATTATTCGCATTTTATTATAACTGTCAACAAAAAGGACTGCATCAGCTATTCAAGTTCTTTGATGCTATGCTCTGGACTCGATCGCATAGTTGAATATTATAGGGGAAAGGACGCATTCTTGACGGACTGTGGAAGTGACTGATTTTTATAGGCATGTCTTTAGTTGGGATCAGTATTCATTTCCCTTTCCAGAGATGTCATTAATGTTCATTTCACTGAGGTGTTTCAATAATACGGTTTGAAATGCGCTTATTGTTCCCCTATCTTTTAATTTGAGATAGTTGAAAGATCTTGGAATATATTGTTTCTTACGCCAGTTTTATATGAATCTTGCTCGAACCATAATATATCTAATCCATGGCGTTTACCAGTTTCAGCGCCCCGATAAGAACGACTCTCAAGTACTCTTCCAACGGTCAAGAAGGCTCTCCAATATATAATTAATTGGAATATTGGTCCGGAGAATTCGGCATGACTAGATGTTTCCTCCGATGCCGAAAGAATGTATTAGTAACAAAGAGTTCATATTCTTCGGCGTTTTCCATTGGCTCAGTGCACCCCGATGTCATATTTGCCAATTACCGAGTTCGTCGTAACGGCATTGTTCCAGTCTCACCGATTATGATCATGTCATCTCTCGGTAGAGATATTGTTAATAGTTGAAGCTCTGCTCAGAACTTATTCTTATCGCGGCATCTGCGCGTAAAGTCATATACACTGATGACGGGAAATATTGAAAAAAAAGCAAAAATAAACAAATGAAGAGGAAGAATAACCACCTCTTGTTAAATAGTAAGGTTTAATTCAGAAACTGAGAAATAATTCAGGAATAAATTAAGAATATTTTGTTGAAAAAGGCTGCCCGCTGATAATAAATTTTATATTTTTCATTTGAGTTAATTTAATAATTTTGCTTTTATTTATTTTGATTTTTATCAGTAAAATTTTTTTGAATTGATTAATTCACTCGATTTCTAAAGCTCTCAACGGCAACTTTTCAGCAATAATTAACCTTTAGAATATTTTCAATGCATTTTTTATCGTTCTTCTAAACGATTTAATTTCTAGATTGCTCGAAATATAATTGGAATTTTCAGTGTTTGGGATGCTTCTCGATTATTTTGTTTAAATCATGTTCATCGTATACCCGTATTCAAAGTCGATGAAAGCACAAAACAAACTGATGTACAGTTTTTTCTTTCACTACGTATGATTTTCAAAGAAACGATTTTAAAATTGGTAAGTAATTTTTTTCAAAAGTTTTCGTAGATATTTTTGTTTTTATGGAAAATTGTTTGAAATTATTCGCAGCTGTGAGAAATCGAAATAACGATTCTAATGATCTTTTGCAATAAACAACCAAGTTATTTGCAATTTATTTTAATTTTACCCATTTATTTATAAATTTCTTCGTTGAAAATTGGAAATATCTAAAAAAAGCAGAAAATGTATATATATATATATATATTTTCCTTCATAATATTGATCAGGAGAATTGAGGCTGCAATTTTCAAATGATTTCACAAATAATTTGCGCTTAAAAAAGAGGAGCAAAATCAGTAGGTGCCTCTAACTTTTTAGTAAAATTATGGGACAATGGATTTTGAAATAATAACTCCAGCTCATCATTTCTGGTAGCATAAATTCAAAAAAATACTAGTGCAGTTTAAATTAATAAATGCAGCAAAATCTTATTGAGCAAAAATAGGCCTTGCATAATTTAACTTTAATTAAAGGGATTCGAGAGAAGGGGAAAATATTTTTGTTTTCTGCAAGACATAAAAATATTGGCCTTAATTAACGTAATTAATTTGCTCTAATTCGGTACATTTTCAGAACCATACACTTCCATGCTGCTGTATCTTTTCTTAAAATTCCTGTGGCTCAAAATTTTAAGATTTTTTAAAAATATGTCGAATCAAGAATCAAGATTTCAGTTGTCGAATTCGAATCTCTAAATATTTAAATAATTATTTACTCGTGTTAGCATAGGATAAACTAGTATAGGCAGAGTAAATTAGTATATGTTTGTGGTTGATCAAAATATTTAATAACAAAATTAATTTTTATAGAAATAATATAAATGAACAAAAAATTAGCAAATTTTTATTTTTATCAATTAATTTTTTTTTCCTCATACCACACAACTATTACGTTACTCAAATAATCTTAAAGGCTATTCGAATGCCACCTTGCACTTTTTCTTTCGATTCATTAAGGTATTTTGGCGAAAAATACCCTATTTATTTTCGAATTTTGGTATTTTCCCTATTATTTCAGATAGAACCACCATACTTGCCAGTGCTTCATGTAAAATTGCGTACATTGGAAGAAACAGGTATTGGAAGTTGGGGAAATGTTATATCGGTAATTTTTTCTTCTTTCATTTCTATCATATATATATATATATATATATATATATATATATATAATGTATTTTATATAATATACTATTATGTACTCAAACGTAGATGATCGAACCTCTGGATCTGGTAACAATAAACTTGTAATTTCTATCGGCCAACTGAGCAAGGCTAACCAGAATAAGCGCTAAACACCACTCACATTCCCTCAAATAGGATTGGGTTAGAATGTGGTTTTTAGTTAAATCTTGAAAACGAGAATTTCATCGGTGGTTTTTTTCTTAAATTTTGGATTTTTTTTGAAAATTTGTTGCATTCATCGTTTAAAGAGAACATTTTTGTTATTTTTATTTGTTATTTTGTTGTTTTTTATTGAATTTTTGTTCATTGTCGAACAAATCGAATTAACAAATTAATGCTGCGATATTGCTATGATTTCTGAAACAATGATAACGGAGGTTATTGCGATTCAAAGTGTTTCAAATTAATTTCTAGTTTTGACTGCAATTTTTTTGTTTTTCATTCGTATTTTTAAAATTTTCTTTCAGTTTCTTGCATTCTGCTTGATCATCTGTAACTTAACTGTCAATTTTCTTTTTCGTATAGGTTATTTATTGGACAAAATGCACTCAAAAATTTATTGAAATTTTTTGAAAATTTATTCTTTTTCTTAACAATAAAATCATTGTGATTCGTTTCAGGTTTCGATCGAATCGTTATGTAAAGATGTAATTGAAATTTTTATCACCGTAAAAGTTTCTTGTTTGGCAGTTTTGGATGAGTTTGGTCGTTTGGTCGGCAAAGTGACAAAAAACGATATTATGAAAGAGCTTGCAAAACATACGCACTACCTTAGTATTTTCACTGTTCCAGTAAAGGTTTGCTTAACATTCTTTTTTCAAATCTTTAGAATATGCCAGTCATATTAAGTACAAAATAAACTGATATGAAGTCATCCGTATATGGCATTTTTATTCTTTTTTTATTGGAATAAATTAGTGATATAATGATTCACAAATCTGGAATTAATCTGGAACTCACGAAAAGTTGGCTGGTACGAACAGTAAGGTTTTGGAGCGATATTTTATGGGAATTAGCTGGTTAAACCTCGTCATAAACTTTAAACCTATCGTACTTGCCTATCGTACTTCTATGTAAAATAATATGCATGCTCCTTTTCTCTGCATCCTTCCATCGTGGTGAATTGGTTAAATTTGCTAATTAAAATATAAAGAATTTATTTGGAAATTGCACTGCCATCGAGTGCAAAGCTATGGTCGACCTTTTGTCTGTTTGTCCGTTCCTTATCTCATCGTTAAGTTGCTAACTGCACTGGCCATTTGACGATTGTTGTGGAGCTAACTTGTATATTACTGATCGTTGGCTTGTTTTTTGAATCTCTTACTTGTTTTTTGCCACTTTCTTGCGAGAGGATCACTTTAATTGATGATAAATATCTTATCGGCTGTTCCTTATTAATTGTTGATATTAATTTGATTTGTTTTGAATTCCGTCTATGCACAACACTTTCGTCTAAATTTTCAAAATTTAAAACAAATAGGCATCAGCGATAGAAATAAGAATCAATGAAATAGGTACAATCCTAGGCAAAATGGATAACAAGATCCATGGTGCACGATAAACAAGATAAAAGGAAGGCTTTAGAGTAGCTTTTGAATTCAGTGTTCGGCAACTTGCTGAAGTCTTTTTCAAAAATCAAGTAATAAGTTAATGGAACTTCCATTAGAAATTTGCGAAATCTTATTCAATATAAACGGCGGATGCGATAGACAGTTAATCTTTATAAGCATTTTGAAGATTATTGCATGTTAATAAAATAATTTATTTTCTGTCAGCTTTTGGCAATTTTATGCTATTTGTAACCAAAATTTTTCATAATTTATTGAACTATAAATTTATTAATGTTATTTTTTTGCATATATACTGGAACTATTTTTCATGTCCAAAAAAAAGATCAAAAGAAAACTTCGACAAAAAGTTCGACAAATTTGATAAATTTCTTCGAACTATCAATATTCCATGTTTTCAATTTTCAATTTCTTTTTTCTAAAAGCTTTCACCATTTCTTATTAAGCTTTCTTCGCTGGCTTGTCGAGGACCAGACAAAAGTATAGATTAGCGACAAACATCACCCTGTTTTTTGGAAATCAGGCTTATTCTTATTCCTAGCTGGCTAAAATACTGCGCTCCGAAATACGCCATTTAAGATCTACTAAGCCATTTTACTCTATTTTCAATATATTTGTTTATTTCAGAACATTTATCGCTCTTCATCAGTTCTATTACCAAAAAACACAATTTACGAAACGATTGGATTATTGATAAAATCCGGTGATCAGTGTTTGTTTGTCATTGATAAAATTAATGGCGCACCACTAGCTGCTGTGGCTTTTTATGATATTATGGATTATATTCTCAATATTCCTGAAGTTCGCCAAAAAAAGAGCGTTTAGTAAATCATCAACACACTTGTTTTTTCTTTTGGTGCAAGCATCAATCGCATATTGATTATGGTGATGAAAATTTATGTATGGATTTACTTTCTTGTTTTGTATTTATTTCTAATTTATATTTAATTAATTCTATGGTAGATGTAAAGAAGGGTGCAACAAATCAGGTCTATTTTTATTAATTATAAAATGAGACTCATTTTAAGACTTTTTTTCTGGTAAAATTGTTAAGTCTTCTCGAATCTACTGTTATATGATTGGTTCATATTCATTTGAACGTAGAAAAGCTAAACCATGATGCTTGAAATGATAAGCCAAGCAATACACCACCGACATTTCTCAGTTCTTGAGGCCGATTCTTTTTTTAGCTTTTAATGCAAAAAAACTAGAAAAACAAAAATCAGCGGATGAACCGTGGTGCAGTCGCCTTATATACTCCTATAATATTTGAACTGTAGCTCAAATCTTTGGATTTCCTCATATCGGAGGGAGCAATCATAATTATGAATTATGAAATATAAGGTTTCTTATCATTCTAAATTAAGTAGTCAGATCTATTAAAGTTTTCCTCGTCATTTTAGCATTTTTCGATAGTAGTATTTTTTTTTGCTTTATTAATGCCGATTGTTTGACAGTTCACATGGATTTCTTACTTCTTCGTTGACCTAGTCACATTTTTTTCTTCTTTTTTCTATCACAGTTTAAAATTATCACTCTATTTTTAACAGTTATTTCGTTAAAATATGATAATACTGGTTTTATTTCACTGTTACGGGATTAATATATACAATGCATGTTGGATGTTTATATTCAGGTTTTATTTTTTTTTCTAATTTTACTTTTTACCAGTTTTTATCGATTCTAATTTCATTATTTTTTTATTTGGTAATTTATCGCAAAAAAACGTTTTTTCCCTATTGTGATCATAAAGCGATATAAAATTTGACGATCGCGATAAACAAATTATTCGATAATGCGAAATTGTATTATTTTTACTGTTCCAAACGTGAAATCCATATCGACTTCAGTAAATCAGAATTCACTATTTTTATGCTAATTCATTATCTCTATTTTTATTTTTTTCATTAGTCTTATATGAATGACATTTTGGAATTCTCATTTCGATTTGCAGGTGAGGATGAATACTAAAGTTTCAATGGAAAAGGTGATTTTTGCGTTCCTTGAAAATTTTACTTTCATTAGATTTCCACTTTCTGATTAGTTTTTTCTATTCAGATAGTTCTAATTCGCTTTGGACAATCAGCTATAAATTGAATATTCTATGAAAATTCTGGCCTCATTGATTGTATACCTTAAGTTATAACCAGTACCTCCATAATCTTACTGTGAATTACTTTCATTATGCAGATTTTGCAGTTTTATAGATCCACTCGCATTTTTTTCGATGCTATAAAAAATGCATGCATAAAAGTTGAATTGAATTCATAAGGAATCGTTTTTCACCTTTTAAATTCAATTTCATCATTTTTTGTTATATCGTTAAAGATCGCATTGAGCCCTTTTCAAATTGGAGTGTAATTTTTGCTGTCCTCTTATTATATTCCTCATCCTTTAATATGCAAGCCTTGAAGTCTACAATTAATATTTTTAAATCGCCTTTGTTTCTGCTTGACATCGTTGACCGCTCTTGCTTCCATTACCAGTTATATTCATATTCTCTCAAAAATCCCTGTCACCACAATGCTGTCCTTCACGATTATATGTGGGACTTAAAATTTTTACGCAATAAAGTATGAATTAGCATACTACAACGTGCAGGCTGGCTGGGTGCCATGTGCAAAACGTTTTGGAAACACTAACACATGCACGCAATCGATGCGAACTTGCCTGGCGCGAGAATGATGAGAGCTAATTTGCTATCTTCAAGAGTGTGTGAGATAAACGAGACCTATGCATATTTCCGTGAAGATTTTCATGCAATTCGATCGGAGATCCTCAGAATGTTAACCTATGAAGACAATGAAACCAGATATGGGTCCATGTTGTCAAAAACAGGATGATAAAAAGTCATTTCGTCTTTTATTATTTTCGCAAATTATAAACTGAATTATTTTCCACTTGGTTCCATTAATTCGTTTTTGTTCAATTTATGACAGTTAGTAAGGAAATTCTACTTCATTTGAGAATTCATTTAGACAATTTTTAAAATAGAGGAACAATGCCCAAAGTATAATTTATTCATCCACTAATTTCATTTGTCGCGTATTTTTCTTTGGCAATTAGCAATTATATTTTTAAATTTTTTTTTAGAAACCCAATAAATAATAGCAACATTTTAAAAACATTTGATAAATATTTTAATAATAAAAAGGAATAAAAGCTGATCTATTATTTTGGTATTTTTTAAAATATTTGTTATTTTTTATATTGTTATAATATTTTTTAAAATGGTATTTTGCTATTATATTTAAATTTTTACGAAAATTATGAATAAATACTAAAATTTGTGTAATATTCATTTAAATCAATGTCCATTCTAAAATTTCTTTTCGAAATTTTCTTTTCGAGGTTTTTTTCTAATAAGTTAATAAATTCTGTAAATTGGCATAAACTGGTGAAAAAAGTTCAAAGGAATCTAGAAAGAAGGAACCTTGCACCAAATTTTTATAATTTCTAATTTGAAAACATCAAAATACAGCTGATGTTAATGGAAACATAGGAAAAAAATTACAATGGAGCATGAAAGTAAAAATAGACCAACAATTTTAATCGTTATCCATATCGCCGCAATCTTCATCTGCTTCTTCCGTTTCGGTTCTACCACTCCTTAATAGTTCTTCACAGGTATCCAACCAATATGTTAGAAGTGTTCCAATACCCTGTTTATAAAAAAAACATGGTGGAAAGACAAGTTAGATAAGTTAGAAATCAATAATTATAAAAATTTTAAACTATTTTTGTGATTTGTTGCCCAGAACAAAATAAAGAATTATTTATTTTTTATGATTTATTTATTCGAGTAAGTTTTGAAAAAATCTATCTAAAAAAGTCTAAATAAATATTGGCTTCCAAAATACAAGAATAGAGGTACCTCTATTCGTACACTTCCACGAGATGAGCACTTGAATTCTGGATATCTTGCTGAGAGAAGCTGATAACTTTTTAAGGCCAATTGTATGCGATCTGGCATACCAGTATTTTCCATTTTTGATGCTATCATCACCTTGAAATAGATTAGTTGTTACAATTCGCAAGCGATGATAGATAGCAATTTTTATATAGAATAACTGAAAATATACAGTGTCACCGAAAACGCAATATCTTGGAGCAGATAAACCAACAACTCCAGCGAAAACTGGGCCAGTATTAAAGCCCCAACGACAATGCAATTTCTCGCCAGGACGATGAGGAATTTCAAATCCAAACAAAAACTATAATTTTAAATAGATAAAAAAATTCATAGTTAAAGAAACGCTGAGAATTTATTTTAAAAAAAATTTTAAAAAAATTGAATGATTGAAAAACGATTTTCCTTAGGTGTTTTAAATCATTTACAAGAAAACTAATAAACCAGTTAAAACCAATTTAGTATTTAAAGGCATTTGATATTATCGGATGGCTAAAATACATATTTAATTAATGAAAAGTGAAAAAAGTGAACATCACGCTGCATAATCGCTACAGAAGCAATATCACGAACATGATTGTGACGGCTTTTAATAGGCACTCCAGAAGCCACCATATATGCATCGCCAATGGTCTCAACCTGAAATTATTATGAGAATGCTTTTTTGAAGCATATTAGTGATCATATGAAGATTAAACTACAACCTTATAACAATTATGTTGTGATATAATCATATCAAATCGTTGGAAGATACCACTAAGCAAATTTACAACTTCCATTGGTTGACTTTCGCTACATAGAGATGTGAAGCCGACAATATCTGAATATAAAATAGTGGCAGATTTATAAGTTTTGGCATCAACACGTCGCCCAACTTTTAGTTCATCGGCAACTGATCTGCAAAAATAATCGCTAACTTTAAAGTTAGTATGGAAGAATTGTTCATAATGGATAAATTTCGATGAAATTTTTCTTTCTAAAACTTCATTTAGTTACAACAACTGACTTTGGCAAAAGTTCTGAAAGAAGACGGTCAGCATGTTGCTGTGCTTCTTCAAGTTGGCTTGTCCTCTCTTTTACCAAATTTTCCAAATTGTTCGTATACTGGAAGGAAAGATCTGCTCAAAAATATTATAATAATACATTCTTATTCTGTACATTACCGTCTTATATTATCATATCTTTATCTTGATTCTTATATTTTATCATTTGAATCTACCGCTGCTGGTAAACAATCCATCTGGGGCTGGGGCTTACTTGTACTCAATGACTCTCTGGCAAGTTTTATTCTGCCAAGAGCCAATAGAATCAAAAATGATTAGTGCCAGACAATTATAATAGTACCAGATAATAATTATTAAAATTGTTAAAATTAAAAGTTTTTTAAAATTTTCATAGAAAATAGTTTAAGTAAGAAAGGAAAATTTAAAAAATTTTTTGATTAAAATAATATTCAGATTCATTCCACTGATCTTACTTGCTCCATGTTTTTAATCATTTGATCGACCAGACTGCCCGTGCTAAAAGAGAGATTTTGCCATGAAAATGGTGCAAAAGAAAAATTGCAATATAATTTTAAAAAAAAGCTATATGAATTAAATGTTAGTACATAAAAGTTATGAAAGTTGAAACTTCAAAAATTTTTTGGATTTTTAAAAAATATTCAAAAGGACGACTTAAAATGTTGAATTTAAAGCTAGGTGAAAAATTTATTGTAAATTTATTGTAATTATTATCGTTCAATAATTTGTTCAATAATAATTTGCACTCTTTTTCAACAAATTTTATCAACTTCTGCCTTCAAAATATTTAAATCAATTTTTTTTAGCATATAATAATAAAAAATCAAAAAAAACATTGAACCACAAGATCACCAAAAAAATTTAACGCCACTTATTTTAAGAATTGATAAAACATGCATTTTTAGCGTTGCATCAGTAATTTTTCTTGCCAAGGAAGCATCAGGGCGTTGATCTGAATTTTTTTCCCAACATTTTTGCATCAATTTCGACAAATCGGGGTGCAAATCAATATTTTCCGGAATTGCGGGATATTCGGGAATTAAGGTTTCAGCTGCCTCATAAAATATTTCCGATTCGTTGTCTTGCCCCGTATTATCTAAAAAATTAATTTTATCAATGATGAGCAACAATTGCAAAAAAATATTCCCCAACATTCCTCGCTAAGGGCAAAATGGTTGAGTGGAATTTTGCTTTGACTAGCTCAAGCATTATATGTTCAAGTTCTACTTCTTAAAGCAAATAAAGATGCCATTAAAAATGAAATCTAGTCGCTCGAATAAATTTCCATCTCCAAGAAGGACTGAACTTTCTGGTGAAATGGTTCATCCTGGTAGTCAATATAAGTAATCATATTTTCCGCTAATGATTTTGTTTAAAGATTACTTTTGGTAATTTTTTGTGAACAATTCAAAAAAAGATAAGGTTGAAAAATTTCAGCAATCTCAACTGAGATTTGAAAAAAAATTCTGAATGAAGAAAACGATTAATAACCTGTTTTATCAATTTTATCATCAATATATACTATTTTTTGGCGACACATGATTTCATATAAAATAACGCCAAAGCTGTACATGTCTGCTGCTTTTCCTTGTTTGCCAGTGATATTGAGACCAGCATTCCATGTTTTTAAGGCTTTTCGCATTTCTGGCGAATAGTAATGAAGTTCTGAAATGAATTAAATCAAATGAAATTAAATTAAATGAGATTAACAATCTGTTTTAGCACCAAAACTCATAATTACAATGAATCTGCATCATTTCTGAAAACTGGTAATTTTCGAAGTTATGGGAGAATATTATAAGAAGCAGTTTAAAACAAACAAGCAACATCACCTGAATTTGGAATAAGTGGTTCCCCATTTTTTTTCGCTACCATCCCTTTAATTTTCCATTTGTAAAGTAATCTTGATAAGCCGAAACCAGATATTTTCAAAATCCAGTGGCTGTCTATTAAACACTGTGATGGTGTCAAGGCACCTTGATATTCTATAGCCGATGAATGAAGCCATTCGAGCCCCTATGAAAGCAATTAAAGTTAAATCATGCTAGCGAAAAAAAATTAATATTTATAAGATCAAAGATAGAACTTACACGAATAATATCTCGAACAAAAGCACTCTTAAACTGATCATCGAATGCTGGTGAACTTTCACCTAAACTTTTTTTCCTTTGAGAATCCGCTGTAGCATCATCCAGCATTAAATCTGCTAAGGTTCCACGAAAGCAGTGCTTCCAAACTGCATAAAATTCGAATTTTTTGTCAAACGATATACCAATAAATGGATTGATGTTATCATGAACAGCTTGTTTCATCTAAAGGTAAACATTTGTTAAATGTCAAAATCAGTAGATCTAAAATTGTAAAAGGGTCTAATAGATCTAATTTTCGGGACACGATGATGAGGTGGTATAATCTTTTGACTAAATTCATGACACACTAGATCCCTTAATGGAATTATAGCTATTATGTGAGTAGTGTCGGAGATCCCTTCTATATATTCCAAAGCAAATCAGTGAAAAACAATTGCAAACAACGAATAATGGTTGAGAGGCGTTAGAAGAAGGAGATGATGGCTATTACAATATGCTATTAGCAAAGATAAATGTAAAACGAATGGTCTGCAGTGATTTTATCAAATCGCTTTGGTTCCTTCTCTACTAACTTGTTTCAAGATAGAATCAATGAAAATTCACCTGGTAGAGTAAGGCCATGTCAGCTTTATCAAAAACAATTGCCTCTTTTAAAACGTAGGGTTCCACAATTACATATCCCTGCTCAATTGTAGCAAGTTTCCTATATCGCAGTAAATCTTTTATTCTAGCTTTACTGTCCATCTGTTGTTTTAAGCTGTGAATCGACATTAACTGAAATGTTTTTTGAAAAATTTTTGCAAACAGATTCTCAGTAATTTCTTCATTTAATAGTGAATAAAGGATATTTAACTTCAAATTGACTGAAGGAACGATTTTTCAAATATTTAAATGTTTTCAAATATATGGAATACTAACTGATGAAGATCTTATGTCAACAAACTTTATCATTTCATATGGTATTGCCCAGGGCATCTCTTTGGTTTCACCACGTTTTCTAAAAATAAGGCGGATTGGAACTGCTTGAATAAGCTTCGGGATAACTGCATTTTTTTTCATTTTTAATTGCAAAGCAATTTACAACACAATCCGCATTTTTAAAATAGCATTTGTATTTTGTGCAAGTAATGATTTAAAATTTTTGTCATTTTTTGATTTTGTCATTAATTTCATTTAAAATCAAGCTTTTCGAATATTGCCATTCTAGATACTGGATAGCTCTACAACTGCTCTATCAGCAGCTACCTTTGTCGAGTAACACTCAGGCGAACTGGTCGCACTCTGGTAGTCAATGAATCACGATGAAATTGTGAGAAGATTATTATGTTTTAGAGCTGTGGACATAGGACGATCTTCCATTTGTGTAGGAAATTTTTCGAAAGACATTTTTTCTACAGATTTCCTTATCGAAAAGCCTTACATTCTCCTGTACACAAGAAATGCTCCAATGATGAAAACGATAAAAACGACAATTCCAGAAATAATCAGTATTGTACTGAAATTAATCACAATTTGAAACTAAAGCTTTAAGACAAATTTATAATTTCATTTCTTCTGAAAAACTTGAAAAATTTTGTAAAAAATTTATCTTCTAAAGATAATTGCTCTTTGGAGAATAAAATGACTCAGTGGATTGTTGCTCAATTCGGACGCCGATAGTGAGGCTGTACTTCCAGAAGGAGTAAACCTCTCCAAAAATCCGGTGCTAACGAGTCATCTATCGTACTTCTATCGCCAAGGAACTCATTGGCATGTTTGTCTAATCAAACAAACCAAAGCTGAGAGTCTAACCAGTGATGGTGAGTTCTCTTAAAAAGCTCTTTTCCCTGAGTAAGTGAATTACAAATATGAAATTTTACACAGAATTCACCAGCATTACGTACTTTTATCATTCCATCCTAAGTTGTTGCGATAAAATACTAATAAATCTTTCAAGTTCAGATAGAAATTTAAAAAATACGAAGATATACGAAACCTTACCCGGTCTGATTGCAATATTCATCATCAAAACCACAAATCGGCCGATCTAGTGGAACATTACTCGTAATTGGCAGATCATATTCAATTATCTTACCTTTCTAAAAAATTTTAGAAATTTTATACCTTGAATTTAGGCATTTTGATCCAATTTCTTCAGCTCCTTTGCCTATTTTTTTTGTTTTAGTCTTTTTTAAAATCATTTTATATAACCCATAATTTCCCATTTTTAGAAATTTTTTTGCTCGAAATTTTTTTCGTTCAAATAGTAATTTAAAAAAATAAATTTAGAATGAAGAAAATTTTGTTCAATTTTTTCCTCTGTTCAATAATTTTGTTCAACTAATCCTAATTTTTCATCAAAATTCCACAAAAAAACTATAGTGATTGCGAAGGTGATAACCATCTAAATTTTATCAAATATCGTATTTCCTGCCGGAAGTCTGTGTTATTATGTTTAAGGACTGTATCATGTGTATGCATGGTAAGAATAAGTTCTATTGCTACCAGTATTTCTTCGAAAAAATGTAGCAAGAGATTGGGATGCACACATCGTTTTCTGCCATGGTCAAGGAAAATTTTAAATACATAGGCGATCAGGAGTTATGCCAAGAATTATATGGGATTTAGATGGTCAAAAAAATGGCTATTTTCAAGCATGGCATCGTGACGACAGGCTTCGAAACATCTTATCCTAGCCGGCAGTGGAATCAGCTAAGTCAGCTATAGTGCGAGTTGTTAGGTGCTATTCCTAAATTTTAAAAATTACGTAGGTGGCAAATGATAAAAAGTAACTAACAAGAGTTATACAAGTTGCAGGTTTCTTTTTTCTACAGGAATTTGATAAATTGATTTGGAAAAAAATAGAAATTTCAGACGACCCACTGCCAATAAAATACACTGTGAATGGGCATACACGAACTGTATTCTCATTAAGCACAATCGTACCAAATGGCCCTTGAAGTATCACTAATAATTATAAAATTGTGAGATGCAGCGACTGCAGCAACATGTTAAATATTTCATGTAAAAAAGCAGCAAAGAATATTTTTTAACGCACGATATTTAATTTATCAAGCGGAAAAGTTATAAAAAATATCTCTCCATTGCTTGTCAAATAATTAATTGCAATATCATCTCTCGTACCATCTACACGATAAATTTAAAGACAATGGGAAGAAATAATGCACATGAGAGAAAAAACTTCAATTTTTTTACTCAAAACTGATGGCTTTCATAGTCAAAAATTTTTTAAAAATTAGTGGAATTTTTAAATTGCAAAAAAATTATGATCCATAAATGAAAAATTTTTCAACAATATTATTCACAAAAACTCTAATAAACCGTTTGTCAAGGGTTTGTTAAGTAAGTGAAAAAATTCGACAAACTATATATTACAAACCTTTTATCTCTGAATTTTTAATGATATCTGCTGATGCCAGTCGACGACTACCAGTAAAATTTTTGTCCTTTAAGGTATGCACATAGAGCCATGCAGATTCATATAACGATAAATAAACCATTGTTTGTTCCTAAATTAATGTTAAATTAACGTAAACGCTCTCTTATTATCATCGTATTTAATCGATGGAAGTATCTGTGAATATAGAAAATATATGCAATTTCAATAAAATTAGAAATAATTCGTTATCATAGTTAATAAAAGTTAATAAAAAATCTTCTAAATCATAATAAGAACTTCCTGATTATCATCATGCAAAAAATCTGTTTACTTAGATAAAATTATATACATCGGTCAATCCTAGAGGGATTTTCGATCTGAACCAATTGATATTTTCTTCCTGGTAAAATTCGTTAACCAACTGAAAATATTAGTAAAATATGAAGGCTATAAAACAGTAATTTCTATAGCCAGAAAACAATTCGAATCGTTATATAAATTTGGAGAATACTGGCCTCATGCCCAGAAGGAGTAAATAGGTCGCTAAAAAATATTGGTGATAACGAGAACTAGAGAACATTTATTTATTTATCCAGAAAAAATAAAGAAATAAAGGTAGAAATTTTTTCATTGTTCATTAACAAGAAATAATCGTTTCTTTATGTTTCTTAAGCCATCGCAAGCCCGATTGCTGCCTTGGTAGGAATAAAAATATGTTATCAAAGTTTGTTATCAAAATCCGACTGGCATATATAAATTTTTGCCTCAAGTAACTCTGGCGAAAAGATCTTACAATAACTTTTTAGAAGAATAACAATCAGTACAACCAAATCATAAGAATTTTACAACTCTTTTGTTGCCTCTATTTAAATACATAAAAAATACATTCTTACAATGACAGAGTTTTCAAAAAGTTCCTTCATATATGGGTCGACAGTTCCATTATATAAAGTCCAAGGTGGTGTGAATTTGCCAATATTGCCAGATAAAACAATCACTATCACATACTCCAGCGAATCTAATTTGCTTAAACGAAATCCTTTCATAAAGTCAACATAATCCAATAGATAATTTCCGAAGAAAGGAAGTATAACTGAAAAAATCAACTAAGAACCAAAAGCAATAAAGTTATCGGCTACCGCAATTGCTTAATTTGCAGTAGTAACATTTTTCTATTTGCAGAATCATTTGATTTGACCAGTTTCATATTTAGCATTTTTTTTCACTACTTATATAGCTTCAAAGATTTTCAGAAAAAGTGTTCCATTATTAATAAATTGTTTTAAAAAAGATAAGTGATATCAATGTAATATTCATATTCGTCGTTTAAGTGAAAAAACGACTGGTATGAAAGAAAAATTCGCAAATAAGGGGAATTTAAATTCATTCTTTTAAGAATGTAATCATGGTCTAGGATCATTTAAATTTTGCAAAATTTTATTGCAATTGCAATTCTAAGATGGAAATGGAAAAATTCAGATAGCTTAAATAGCTCAATGGTAGAATATTTTATGAAAATAAACTCAAGTAATCGCTGCAAAAAAAGGAAAGATTTATATAGATTTATATAAAAATCCATAAAACTGACTTCTAGTAGAATCTTTAATGGAAAGAAGGATTTGGCAAATAGCTTCAGGCTCTGTTTCATTTCCTATTAATGACGATTCTGTGAGCACTTTTATATTATTGGCGGCAAATACAGACCGAATATTGTCAATTTTGATTTTCGTGTCCTCTGAATCGTCGAAAGCGCTGCTTTTATAGATCAAACTGATCTGAAATCAAAATTTAGATAATGTGGTACTTAGCTGGATAAATAAATTTTATACGCGGGTCAAACGTAAATTCGTTTATTTTAGAAATCGATGAGCTTTAATAATTATTTTTTTAATTTCTTCCTTAGATAAAAAATCCTTTAAATAAGTTGAGTATGAATAATGATTTTTTCATATTTATTGAAAGCAAATATCTCCAATCATTCAACCTCATCCCATTTCATTATTTCGAATAGCGCCTTTAGATTTAATGCAATATTTATGGATGAAGCTGTAGATAGCTGCAAAAAAAACTGTAAAATTGCAGTGTTAAAAACTCTTATAGCACTATAATTACCATTAGCAAGACCTAATTAATATTGCAAAGATCTTAAAATATTATCTCAATAAAATTATATTCTACAACAAAGCATATTTCTAAATGGCTTTTCTCAAATATTTTATTATATTTAAAAATCATGCATGCAGCAAAAAATCTTGGGAAAAACCTGAATCGTAGTATCACCTTCATCATCATAATAATCCTTCCAAAAATAAAATTGCGTTATATTCCAACCACCACTTAACTGACTCGTTATTTTTAAATCTAAAGGTAGATTTTAGCTTTAAAATATATAGATTTAAAATAATATGTAGATTTAAAATATGCAATATCTAATGGATGAAGCTGTAGATCAAAGATTGTCAAACTAGTCTCCACGAATTTATTTAGTCATTTGTTTAGTTGATTAGGTGTTTTTTCTTGATAAAGTAAAATACATTACATTTTGAAGATATTTTGTTTACACCATCACTGATTATTGATGCGACTAGCAATCACAAAATTTCTGCGAACTAATACATTTCTAACACCTCATTGCTCATTTCATCATTTATCAGCTTATGTGCAATTCGTTGTTTTCATTTATGTTTCATGGAATCGGCTGCGAATTACAAAAGAAGAGTATAAACAAACCACTGTAGCACATTGGACCGAATAAAGCAGTAATTTTGAACTGATAATAAAACTGCACAGCTATAGCAGCTCCTCTACCATTATTTAAATTTTTCCCACATCTATCTGTACTCTCTGAATAGATGCTGAAATGGATGCGGTAATAGTTGACATCGTTGAAAATTTCATTCTTCTCGTTAAATTCTTCAAGAAATATCAATAAAATAAAACGCACTTAAAATTATTCTCAGACAAATTCAATTGTTTCACTATGTCCATAAAAGCATGTTCAAAAAAAATGTTTGCTTGAGGTATAATGGTTTGATCCATAATCAGTCCGACATCAATTTTATCCAATGTTTGCCCAGCAACAATTCCATTTCCATAATATAATAACAATAAGAACCATAAGATAAATATTTGCCCATCATGTGGCAAAGCTGAACCGATGGCCAATTTTTGAATTTTGCCACCAATTTGGAACAAATATAAAAGCGAAATCTTAATCGAAATTTTATTCTCAACCTGTGCCAATTTAAGGAATTTGTGAGATACCATACATCTGAAACTTTTTACGAAATAAACCCTTTCAAAAATAAGAAAAAATTGTATATGCTTTAAGAACAAATCAGGCTCGCCTGCGAAACTCGCCAAAATGATATGGTTTCCCGAAATCCTTAGCCACCGATATTGTTGCTTTTGTTTTTTCAAAGTATTTTAAAATAAAGTTATAAAGAAAATTTCGGAATTACTTATCAAAAATTTGAATTAATGTGAAGATATTGAGTATTCTTGCATGTATGTCGAATTAAACCAACCCACAACAACGATGAAGCGATTGGTTACGATAGTTTTTTTTGTTGGTGCCATAATTTTTATTTTTTCGATGGTATATCCTAATTTCAATATCAATAAATTAAATAAACTGGATTAAGAAAATTATTATGATGCATCAGCCTATCTTACCGGTGCCGATCTTTGATAAAAATAAATATATCAGCGAAATCTTGTAATGAAACTCCACTTTTATACTACTCCTATTCTCAAGATTATTTTTCTTCATTCACCATATGATGCTCTTACCTCTAAACAAAGGGGCTCAATAACCAGTGGAGCCATATGCCAGAAATGCATTAGGAAAAGAACTTGAGAGGGAGGGATAATAAGTAACTAACTATCACAATTAATACGATTACTGATTTCTGCATGCTTCCTGAAAGTAGAATTTAGAGCGCGGGGTCACAGATAGGATCATCGTGTTGAGAGACAAGATGAGTTCACTTTCTATTCTCGACCTGAGTAAATCTGCCATTAGAAAATTCTAGATGTTAAAAATAAAAATTGCAGGATGACCGTTTAATGCCAAGCCACATGGAGCAATCCTAAGCAATATATTGAGAATACAATGTCGAGGTTTACTCTTTGAATAATTTCAGCAATTTTTTCTAACTGAAAAGTAACTTACATCCAATTTAAGATGAAATCCAATATTTATCAAAAATTTAGAAAGAAATAAATTAATAGTTCAATTCTTTCAAAAAATCCGATATATAGTAAATTTATAAATCGAAGAAAGACAAAAATTTTGAGCAGTCACAACCAAAAATTGAATTCAAATTTCCTACATGTCTTCACCATCATTTTCCAGGACCTAAGATCTGTAGATTTCCACTGAGAATCAAAATTCAAAATCATCGACCACTGGCTCGCTCTTAATTTTGGTTTTTTTCGCTAGAATGATTTATCCAGATTTCATTTTAAGCGGCAAGTAAAAATAAGATAGAATCCATCAAGCAATAATCTGTAATCTCTTTGCAAATAAATAGAAATAACTAATATCCAATAATAAAATGATAACATGATAAATAGGCTTAGGCCAGAAAATCGGCTATTGAACATGTTACTTCAACATAACAACGGAACATAAACTTCTTAAAAAGATTCATTCCGACGTTGCTGGGTGACAATGTTTTAAATGGCAATATTATTTGGATTCATCTATCAAGATATGATGCACCGTTGCCATAGCATCATCCCCCACCTTCAATCAAACGTTTATGTACAAGCATGCTTTATGTACAACTTAAAGAAAAGAAAGTGAGTCATCGAAATATCTGGTGCAGTTATGTGTTTTTTGAACTCGGAAAGATGAATACATAAAACTCGTTATTTCCAGATGAACTTTGATAATGAGCAGAGTTCTTCGCCTAATTAACTCGAATTTAACATGAAGGACAAATTTTTAATCCGACATATGTATAAAAAGAGAATGGTTTTCCACTAGCTGGATTGCACTCTTAATGTCATTTATATGTGACGACGATATATGGGAAAATAAATTGAAAGAAACAACCACTCTTCATTAATTACAGTTGTTTTAATTTCTTTTGCTTATAGCCTTCTCTCCACCAAAACAGGCAAAAAAGATTGATCGCAATCCATAATGATAACATTTCTCTATTTCAGTGGATTTCAGTGAGTTGGTCACGAGAAACAACCTTTAGAAATAAGCGCATGACCAGATAGCGAATAACAAGCGCGCATGCACCAGAAATTATTAATTGTTGGCCATTGTTACAAAATTTTTTTTTACCGATGTTTGACTTTTAACCGAAAAAAAAATTATGTGTATGATGAATATGTAAGAACTATTCTTAATGAATAATTTATTACTGAGAACATTTATTAAGCTAGTTTAAAAAATATAAAGTAAAGAATCAATTTTATACAAAAAAAGACATCAATAAACCCAAGAAACAGGCACCCACTGAGGGCAAGCATGGAGTTTTTCAACAATAAGCTCTAACTGTCGAATCGTTTCATCGATATCATTGTTGATAATCATATAATCAAAAAGGTGTCCAAAAGCTTGACGAAGAATCTCGCTTTCTTTTAATAATCGCTCCAAGCTACCATCAGGCTATAAGCACGAATAAAAATAATTAAATGAGCTTGAGTTGTTTTCACAACTTCACACGTCGAAGTAAGTAGTATTTTCCTTCAGCCGAGGTCATGGATTCCATGAGCCTACCAAAAAAGCCCAGTTGATGCTGGGGATTAAGCAACCAGTAATGGTGAGAATTCTTTCCGCCGTAACTTCTTAAACTCTCATATTCACTATGTTATTAGCGTGGCCAAGCAAAGTTGTTACATAGTTACGGCGGAAAGAATTCTCACCATTACTGGTTAAACTCGTCCCACTGGTTTGTCGCATTGGGCAATATGCTAGGGAATCCCTAGCATTGGCGATGGAAATATGTAAGTCGCCCGTATCACATGGATTTTTGGACAGATTTACTCCTGCGGGGACTAAGACTTTAGCATCGGCGCTCCGAATCGAGCAACAACCCATTAAGCTATTCTATCCACAGTTATGGCGCAAAAGAAATTTATAAATCCTTGAAAGTTTCTTGAAAGTTTATTAGACGTTCCAGTTCGAAGGATTTAAAAGATCAGAAAAATCAAAAAGAACCAAATAAATGAAAACACGAATATAGCTTGAAAAAAGTCTCGATAAAGAAAATTAGCCTAAATCTTACATCTTGCAAACCTTGAAGATTCGGCGCAGCAATAAAAACAACAAATGGTGAATATTCAGCTGTCCTGAGCACTTTCAAAGCCTATAAATTATTAATTAAAGACTCATGATTTGTAGAGACAAAATTATTAAAACAATAATTATTAAATAATTATTAACAAAATAATAATAACAATAAAAAGGGAAGAGGCATGATTTAATTTATCTGATGAAGAAAAAGCCAAAGGACAAACGAAAAAATATGGCAAAAATTAGGCATTAGATAAATATGCTTTAATACTTAAAATTTAAAAAAAGAGGCACTCAACCTGAGGTTCAACATCTAAAATAGCCATCTTGCCAGTTCTATGAATATTTCTTATTGTTTCAAGCTTTGTTCCATACATACATTCCTCATGAGTACCGTATTCCAAATATTCATTCGCTTGGATATCAGCTAACATGCAATCACTTGAAACAAAATAATAATGTTTTCCTTCTAATTCGTCTTTACGTGGCTGCCTTGTAGTATCTAAAAAGAAATTCTGGATAAAAAATTGAAGCGAATTACAATATTTACATGATAAAAGTTTTGAACGGCGGAGAAAACTGCAAAACTAACGTGGAATAGGATAAGCGAATCGTTGTGGATGCCTATGAATTAAAGTATTTTTGATATGCCGCCTGCCTACACCATGAGCACCGAGCAACACCAAAGTTTTTCTCCTATATGTGGCTAATCGTATAACCTGAAATTCGTTTTGACAGTGGAATTCTTAATATCATTCATCAAATTTTTCAATGAAATCTGAGTGAATTGAAGGTATTTCTTTCGCTCGTTTATCTCCTTAAAATTTCAGTTATCAAGCGGCGTCTTACATACATAGTTCCACACCGTTTGAATTAATAAGTAAAAATAAATGAGTAGTTAACTGGTCGTTTTTGGTTGTTTAACTACTATTCTCACTGAATCTTCCATTCATCGAATTTTTAAGGATGAACATAAATGAGCTTTTTCTTCTCAAAATTAACCTCTTCATAAGTGACGAGATCAAGTTGATCAAAAAGTGCGGAATGCTTCTGCAGATATTTGGTCGTATAATATTTTTTCTTTTTATTGAACCACATACAATGAGCTGGAAAAAATTCAAAAGATAAAATATAATGATGAATTAATTAGCTTTTATTTCCAAACTTACTATTGTCTTTGGCCCTTTCCATAGCAAGACAAGCAGTTCTCCATTCCTGAAGTTCTGGCGAAGGAATAAGCCCAGCTACCGATGCTCCAGGCGTTTGATTACCACTGTGAGATGAACCCAGCGCAGGAAATGTACAAACAAAACGTGCTTGCCACCAATTATGATCATCTTTAGATATTACCTAAAAATTATTTATTTTATTAGAATACGAAATTGAAAAACGATCACAATCTTGCAAATTATGAGCTAACCTGTAATATATCCCCAGTTTTAAATGGCACTCCGGCTTGTGGACAAGGAATCAGATCATCTTGAGCTGGATCATAATCAAATTGAGCACGTACAAATATTTCACAAGCAGGAGGCGCACTCCTATATGAGGGAACAATTTTAAATGTAACTGCTCCTCGAGCGTCGCGCAGCATTCGTTGCAGTGCTTCAACGCTTTGATTGTTCACACTTACTCCATTGATCTCACGAATTTCATCCCCAACATGAAGTGTTGCTATAATTGTTTTATACCTCGATTTTTAAATTTATTCTGGACAATAGCTTTAAATTTATATAATCTTCAGGTATGCTCACTGTGGACTCACCGATCTTCCTGTCCCCTAAATTTTTTTTCAGATGGAGGAAATAAAATCCTCATACTCAGTGGAACTAGCCATACCAGAAATGAAAAAGAAATGATACTATTAGAAATACTGTTAGAGGAAGAAGAATAATTTCAATAAAATTTAATATAACTTTAATACCGTGCGATTTTAAAATTTGAATGGGAAATTTATATAAAAAGTGGCAATAAACTATTCCCTCACCACACCATGCCTGTGGCTTTCATTAAATAGAAGGCCTATTAATATAAGGCTTAAAAATAGAAAAAAAAACCTTACCTTGTCTATGGATCATTCCTCCATGCATTATTCTTGCCACAAGACAATGGCCATCTTCAGTCACCTATAAAGGAAATTAGAAAGCTTGAATGCAATTTTGATTTTTTTCAGCGATATTTTTAGATTTTGTACCTCCACACGACATAAATTAGTCTTAAGAACAAATAGATTAAGGAAATTAAGAAAAAATCTTGCTTTGCCTTACTTTCAGAGTAATACCCATTGGTTCTTCGGTATCTTTTTGAAATTGAACGAGTCGAACTCGGCTAACTACATCCATCATCAAATCATCATCATCATCGAAAAGAGGTGGTATAATGGAAGAAGGCATTTCATGAGAGGATGAGGCCACAGCCGACTGGAATGGCAACACTCCGCCATTTAGATAAGAAAACGGCAACTGTGAAATCTGAACCTGAATAACCAATATAAACTAAACTTAAACTAAAACTTACACTTACACTTAACTAAACATACCGAAAATTTAATGGGAATAAGAATAACTAACGATAAAAATAAACATACATTTGAAGAGGTATTTGGTAGCTGTTGATGACTAATATCAGAGCTACTTGAAGCCTGTGCATTTAGCTCTCGACCACTGCCTTCATAAATTTCGTGAACAATAACGTCATGAGCTTGCAAGACTGCCTAAAATATTAAAATTCTCAGAATTTTCAGAAATCCTTTTTTAAAAAACTCTCATCGCTTCTAATTAGGCTCATTTTCCACTTGTATATCGGATCAAAAGTTTTGCAATAGAAGCGCTGGTCAGCAATCGGCATCATTCGGATTTCTAAAAGACAGGTCTAATTTTACAAAAGGGTAGGACCCGATCATAGACCAACAAAATGAGAACAGCCCACTGGGACATTTCATAGAAAACTGGTGTAATTAATTACAAATTATAAATTAATTATAAAAATAATTGAAAAAAAGTCAAAAAAACAAAGGCCAAAAACTAAAAAGCCATTGTATTGGCGACCCATTTCCATTTTTATCAGCAAATGACCAGGCGAAAATTCCAAGAAAATTAACAGTCGGTGATGCTAACCTAACCAGAAACAAACAGCTAATATTTATTTCTTCAAAAGTTTAAAAATGGCTTATGAATTGCTCATTTAATTTAATGAAATAACATAAAACATAACAAAAAGTGAGATATTATAATTAAAAATTACTTGAATTTGAAAAGATGACAAAAGTGATCGCAACTCATTAGCTTCAGCTGATGGTTGAAGAAGCACATCGATCTTTGAGCATATCTAAAACTTCTTTAAAACCAATAAAAAAAAGGAAAATCAAAAGAAATCGAAGATTAAAAATATGCAATAGTAATTTAAATAATATAATATAAAAAAAAATTTTTTATTGAATGGTCGTTTCAAAAAATATTCTCAATTTATTTTTGTGAATTTATTTTTCATTTCTGATCACAATTCAGCTAAGTCGTCTTAAACTTTTAAATTTTTTTTACCAAACAACGATTAAAATTAAAATAAAATAAATTAGAATTAAATCAATTAAATTGTATAAATAATATATATATTTTCAAATTTCATTAACCTTTTTATTAAAACTGAACTCACAGAAAAGAGCATCTCCCAAATTCCTCAAACTATCTCAAACTAAAAAATTAGGGGACACTGAGTGAGTGCATTTCAAACCGAATTGAAGCATCTCAGTGATACAAATATCAATGATTTTTCTGGAACGACAAATGAATACTGGTCCTCTATGAATAATGAACTAAAGGAATGTCTCCCATAGGGAATTGCGCTAGTTGGGTATCGGAAGCAACTGTCCAATTGTCTGAAAAAGCTGCCAAAGCACGAATGTCAGATGATCCTGACTACCATGTGCTTCAAAGATTTGCAACGAAAGCAGCACGGTGGGACAGAAATTACTATTGGAGTGAGATGGCCTCAAGAATGAAGGCGGCGGCTCGATTAGGCGACAATATGAAACTATTCTGCCTTTCTGCCTTCTTCAACTATGATTCGGGAAACGATAAATCAAAAGTATTAAGGATCGCCTCATAAGAATAGAAAGAATTCTTTGAGGCCAAACTTAACCATGAAGCGCCATCTGTTGCCCCGATATAACTGATACGTTTGCCGAATACGCTTGCAATTGCAAACCTCCAACAGAAAAAGAAATATTTTCAGTTATCCATAAGCTTAAGGCCAATAAAACTCCAGGAGAAGATGGTCTTCGGGCTGAGCTTTTCAAATGCTGCCAATCGTCCTTAATAACACACCTTCAACAAATGTACTCTTTAGTATGGAAAAAAGAAATATTACCAGATGAATGGAGCAAAGTAATTCTC